ACAGCTCTTCATGCCCGACGACGTGGGCAGCGCGGTGGGACTGCCGCTGCGGCACCGCGCGCAGTGGGTCGGCGGCGCCAGCGCGTTGCCGTTCGCATGCGACCGATGCGGGGTACGCTGCAGGGACCGCGCTCAGCTGGAAGCGGGGCTGTGCCGCGGGACGCCTGCCGCCGTGCTGGCGGCCGACGCGACGCACCGCCTGATGACCATGGGCGACGTGGTGTTCTGCTGCTCCTGCGGGGCAAGGGCTAGTGGAGGAGCGGCCATCCTGCTGGCGGAGAAGTGCCTGGGCAAGGTCGCCAATGCCACGGCTGGCACAAGGCTGAACAGGATGAAGGCGGAGAAGCACCCGCTCACGGGCCACCTCATCGGCGAGCCCGTCCCGCTGGTGGCGCGCGTGGAGGAGGCCCCAGCGGAGGAGGTGCCGATGACGGTATGAGGATCGAGGGCGGCGTGCCGCCCAGCCTGGGCACTGCTGCGGCCGTTCGGCCAGCTGGGCGGCGGCGGGAGGGCGCTGGGCGGCGCGCGGCCACAGGCGCAGCGCGGCGGCGGCCTGCGCCGTGCCGCGCGTGCGCCGCGGGGGGCTGGCGGCTGCGGCCGTAGGCCCGTGCTCGCCCGCGCGGCGGCGGCGGACGGCGCCGTGCCACGAGGGCGTGCTGCGCCCGCGGCGGCGAGGCGGGGGTCGCCGCGCCGCGCGGGCGCTCGGGCGGCGCGCCGAGACAGACGGCCCGCCGCGCAAGTGGGTGCGGCTCCTCCTCCTCCTCCTCCTCTCCGCCTCCTCCTCCTCTCCTCTTCGTCCTCCTCCTCCTCCTCCTCCTCCTCCTCCTCCTCCTCCTCTTCGTCCTCCTGCTCCTCGTCCTCCACCTGGTGGTGGTGGCAAGCAGGCTCACCGTGAGGATCTCGGCATTGGGCGGGAGGCAGGGGCGGCGGCGGGGCGGTCCTGGAGCTTGGTACACGGGCCGCGCGGGCGCGCGCGCCCCGCGCTCTGTGTGTCAAGGGGCCCACAGGGACACACAGAGAACAGGCACAGACGCCAGGACTCACACATTGTTTCGCAGGTTGTCTGGGTTTTCGTCTTCCCCCCCCACTTCCCATGTTTTCCCATGTCTTCCTGGGAGTCGACGAGTAGTTGTGTCGGTATGTTTGTTCCCCTCCTGGGTCTGAGACGTCGGTTTCCGAGGCCGTAGGCGACCCGAGGGGAGGGCGAGGAGGAGGAGGAGGAAGAGGAGGAGGAGGAGGAGGAGGAGGAGGAGGAGGAGGCAGGAGGAGGAGGAGGAGGGAGGAGGGGGTGGGAGGGGGAGGAGGAGATGGGGGAGGGGGTGAGGGGGAGGAGGAGGAGGAGGAGGAGGAGGAGGAGAGTGAGGGAGGAGGAGGGAGGAGGAGGAGGAGGAGGAGGAGGAGGAGGAGGGGAGGAGGAGGAGGAGGCGGAGGTTGGGTGGGGGGGAGACGGACGCATTCTCGCGGAGGCGCTGTTTGGGCAGGGCCTGGTCCCAGAACACCTTGGCGACGTGCGCCGGGCATCGTGGGCGCTCGCTCCTTGAGCGCCCTGCCGGGCTCGATGGGGAAAGACCCTTGCCATGACTCGGAGTAGCAGGAGCGAGAGCCGAAACAGACAAATATGGCATAAGCACCATTGTTCGGAGGTCCGCGCGGATTTCTTGTTTCGGCGCGGTATAACCCCCCCTCCCTGGCGCGCGGAGCGCGCCAGGGACGGCGCCAGAGGGTCCGCCAGGGGGGGGCCGAACGCCGACCCAAGAGATCCGCGCGGACCTCCGAGGAATGGTGTTTACGCTGTTTTTATGTTTGCGTTGCTGGGTGCGGCGTGACTCCCCGCCTGTGGTGGGTGATCACGTGCCTGGGCTGGGACGGTGGTTCTAGCTTCCCTCAAGGCCCTTTTTCAGGTAACCTTCTTCTCCCCCACCAGTGAGGACCAGCATAGGCCTTACCAGTGAGGACCGCCATAAGGCCTCCCCCCCCTTTGCTTCCACAATATGGGCTGCGGGGGCAAATGCCCACCATCCTAGCTCCGACGACGGACGTCGAGGACCACGACTTCGGCGACGACGATGTCGACCACCACGACTGGGGCTACCAGTACGAGCGGGCGTAGCTGCTGTGCGGGGTTGTAGGTACGCGGGGCCTGCCCCATGGGGATATCGAACGTCTTCTCATTCGGCGAGTCGACATTGGGCGTGTGAGGGGGGGGGAGGGGGGGTCTGTCTCCGGCCCTCTGCTCAGTGCGCCTGGCCGGAACAGTGCTCCCATGGGGGATCCTATGGGGAGCCGGCCACCTGCTTGAAGCAGGCGCCCCAAACAGCCATGATCTATTCCGTCGGAGGGGAGGGGGGTGCGGGGGCCCGCGCCGATCGGCAAAACAACGAATATGGCAACGTCCGCTTCGGGGGCGAAGGGGGAGGTGCATGACCCCCCTGTTCAGAGCTGAGCTCTTTCGGCGCTTCGCGCGGCGCTCCCCTGCAGAGTCGTAGCCCCCCCTGACGTCTCGGGCAGGCTCAGCGGCGACCACATGGCACCTCTAGTGGGCCCCAGAAATGGCAGGGCCAGTTTTCTTCACCGTTTTCGACAAAGTGTCTCCTGAAAGTGCCTCCTGAAAGTGGAACGGGTAACAGAAACGGCGACCGGAAACGGCAGAGCAACGGCTCGGGAAGCGGAGCCCGCACCGGAGCCGGCCAAACCATCGGCGACGGAGCCGGCAACAAAAACGGCGCCGGAATTGGGCAACGAAAACGGCAAAACGGAGCCGGTAAAAACAAAACGGCCCCGTCGCTGCCAGGGCCCACGCAGCATGTAGGGGGCCACATGTGAACCCTCCCCCGACCCCCTACGATTTCTGGGGGGGAGGGGGGGGTTCACTTCGTTCGGGAGCTCCCGAACGAAGTGAACCCCACCCTCCCCCTCCGCGCCTTCTGAGAAGCCTTCCCAGACATGCGACGTCCTGATTTATTCAATAGCGATCGTGTTTTTACTCATTATTTTGCCAATCGGCGCGGGCCCTCGCCCCCGCCCCTCCCCCCCCCCCCCCCCGCGGAGGAGGTCATGGCTATTTTTGGCGCTTGTCTCGGGCAGGTGGAGCCTCTCCTATAATGGACGCACTGTTGCAAACAGCCGCGCTAAGCAGAGGTCTGGAGCCAGACACCCCCCCCCCTTCCGCCCAATGTCGACACGACGAATAAAACAAGTTGGCATATGGCGTCCCTGGATCGAAGTACCGACCCTTTCCCCGGGACCGCTTCTTCGTCCCGAGTCGTTCTCTGACGGCCCCGAGGCCCTGCGAGGGCCCCCCGAGGCTGAGAATAGCCAAAGAACCTCCCGTCCTTACTATGTTTTCAACGACGCGATCATGTATGGCTTCTGTAGCTTCGGAGGCGGAGAAGTAGGAGGAGGAGGAGGAGGAGGAGGAGGAGGAGGAGGAGGAGGAGGAGGAGGAGGAGATGGAGGAGGAGACGGAGGAAGAGGAGGAGGAGGAGGAGGAGGAGGGGAGGAGGAGGAGGAGGAGGAGGAGGAGGAGGAGGAGGAGGAGGAGGAGGAGGAGGAGGAGGAGGAGGAGAGGGATGATGTTTTAACGACGCGATCATGTCTGGGTTCTGCAGCTTCGGATGAGGCGCAGAGAGCCTCCCGGGATGCCGGCGAGGCCTCCGTGAGCCCTGCGGGGAGGCCCGCCCCCCTCTGCGCCGTTCCCCCCCCTGGTGTGGGCGCGCCGCCCACACAAGGAGGAGAAGGAGGAGGAGGAGGAGGAGGACGAGAGAAGGAGGAGGAGGAGGAGGGGGAGGAGGAGGAGGAGGAGGAGGAGGAGGAGGAGGAGGAGGAGGAGGAGGAGGAGGAGGAGGAGAGGAGGAGGAGGGGGAGGGGGAGGGGGGGAGGAGGAGGAGGAGGGCCGCGTCTGCGGCTCCGCAGGCGGCAGGCGGCGGAGGTAAAGAGTGCGACGTCGGCATGTTTTGGCTCCAGTCCGCCACGCGCACGGGGGGGGCAGGGGGACGAAGTTCGAGGTTCGAGGTTTCGATGTTTTCGGGCGCTTCTCGGTTCTCGGCGGCTGTGCAGCCTCGGGATGCTCTCCAGCGGCCGCGCCTCGCCGAGGGCTTTCTCTGGGGGTGCGGGTCTTGTCCCGAGCGGCCGCTGGAGGCCCGAGTTATATGACCCGAAGACTGCCAGCCACGCGCAGAGAAAGGGGGGCAGGCGGAGGGGGGGGGAGGCTTCTCAGAAGCCCCCCTGCCTCTCCGGAGGCGCAGGCCTCGTCTGCAGACGCGAGGCCGGCGCTTTCCGAGGAGCAGCCTCCTTCGAAGAGGCCTGCCCCCCGCCCCCCGCCCCCTACCCCTCCCTCCTGTGCGCGCCGCTGATCAGGATTCCGGGATTCTGGATTCGGCGGCGTGGCGAATGGTGCACGGCGGGGCGGGGTCTCGGGCTCTGCGTGGGGCTGCAGGGCCCGCGCCTACCGCGCGGCGAGGCCTGGTCCCGAGAGCCTGCCTGCGCGGCGTCGCTTCCAGCTCCCCGGCTCTGGGTGTGTCATGTTGCGCCGCACGTTCCTGCCCTGGGCCCTGGGCCGCGCGCGTGGATGGTGGTGGCATGCGGCGCAGAGAACTCACGTCTCGGAGTTGGCGCAACATCCGTGAGCGCGAGCGCGAATCTCATCCAAGACACATCCTGCACGAGCGAGGCCCCTCGGGCCAGCGCCATCCTTCCAGATGATCCCTGGACCCCCCCCTCCGATGTCCTCCCGCGGCCGTTCAGGCGCGCCTGGCCGGCCCGTCGAAGCTCTCGCGGCCCGCACGGTGGCCCGAGCCAGGCAGCCCGCCAGCAGATGCGAGCCAGGAGTTCCCTGAGAGGTCCCGAGGCGTGTCACGCAACGGCCATGGCCGCCCAACGTGGCCCTCAAGACGGTCCGTGGCCATTTGGGCGCAAACCTTGGCGCCGGGTCGCCCCTCAGCTGCTTTCCCCGCCGTCGGTGCCCACGTCTTGCTCGCCCTCGTTCCCCCAGGAGGGTTCGGATGGCTGCCGCCGCAAGCGCTGGCTCGGCCGCCATCGACGCTGGGCGCTTCTGGGCCCCCGCGCCACCGCGACTGCCCAGCTACGGAGACCCAGCTTATTGGCTGGCGCGCTACGCTGAGAGGGGGGAGGAGGTCTACGACTGGTACATGCCGGAGACAAAAAGCACGGTGGAAGCACAAAGCTTCGGAGGCCCGCGCGCATCTCTTGGATCGGCGCCATGGCCCCTCTGGCGGTGCCTTCGGCGCCGCCCCTGGCACGCTCCGCGCGCCGGGGAGGGGGGGCCAAGTGCCGCTCAGAGAAATCCGCGCGGATCTCCTAAACAGTTTGTGCTTACACTGTTTTTCGTCTCTCGAACATCGGATGGCAGGAGCTCGGGGGGCACGTGGCGCCGCTGGTGACCCCGGAGTCCCAGATCCTCATCCTCGGCTGCGGCACCAGCGCCCTCTGCGAGCAGCTCTACGCCCAGGGCTTCGTGAACGTGACGTGCATCGACCGGTGCGCCCCGCTCATCGAGGCGCTGAGGGAGAAGCACAAGGACAAGGAGGCCACGGTCTCCTTCCAGGCCGCCGAGGCTGAGAGGCTGCCTGACGATTGGGCTGGTCGGTTTGACCTGGTGCTGGACAAAGCGCTGCTAGACTCGGTGGCGTGTGGGGAACAGAAGTGGGCACGTATGGACGAGGTGCTCCAGTCTGTCAGCAAGGTGCTGAAGCCGTCGGGCGGCACCTACCTCTGCGTGTCCCACGCCGGCGTGGAGACGCGAAGGCCGATGCTGCACGCTCATGGCAAGTACGGGTGGGATGTCGAGTGTCGCACGGTGCCGAGGGGGGTCACCGCCACCGCCAGCGGAGACAAGCCGCCCAGCCGTGGAGCCAAGCCTCCGGACCCGCAGGCGGGCGCTAAGCTCACGGCCTCTGCGGCCTACGACCCCTCTGCCGACGTGTACCACATCTACGTCTGCAGCCTGCCGGCTGCGTGAGGGCTGCCCGGCGGGCCGTGGCAGCAACCAGAAACGAATTGGCTGCCCAGTCCCGCTTCCGTCGAGCGCACGCGGCGACGGTGTCACCATCTCGCCCCGGTATGAAGATCGGTCCATGGCTCCTGTCAGCGTCTGCGCTGAGGACCTTCGAATTCAGCTCATCAGGATTCTTCGATTGTTTCGTCTGTCGTCCGTCTCGTCCGTCCTTGCCCTCTTGCACGTCCTTGCTTTGCTGGCGGTATTCTCAATGAATGCGGCCGCGATTAGTTCGACTAGCCGCATCCCCCCCTCAGGTTTCACCCTCGGTGGGCTGATATGTGCCAACTCGTGTCTTACAGGAAGAAATCCCCAAGACGGCCCAATGGAGCCCCAAGAGAGCTTCCAAGAAGCACCAAAAGGGTACTCAAGGTTTCAAGCCTTGGAATGGTCTCATCGGACCTGCTGCTTCGGTACGGAATAACGTCGACGACGGCCCTATAGGCTTCCAATATCGCCTAAGACGTCCCAGATGACCCTCCAGAGGACTCCAAGACGCCCCAAGGGCGCCTACGAAGAGTCTAAAGTTAGCTCAAGAGAGCTCCAAGAGAGCCCCAAGAGAGCCACAAGAAAGTTTCACGAGGGTCCCAAGACCGCTCCAAGATACCCCCCATGCGTCCTTCAGGGCCCCTTCACGGCACAAGAGTTTCCCAGGACGACCACGAAGAATCCCAAGGCTGCCAAATAGAGAGCCCCATGAGGCCGTCAATAAGGCCCAACAGTACGCAACAAGTTGCCCCAATGATGCTCAAGGGTTCGAGGGGTTTTGTGCTCATCCAATTTTTAGGTCATGATTGAACTGCATGTGAGCGCGTTTTGTAGCAATGACAGGCCACAAGTTTATTGCACGTCCACAGGGGCAGAGGGTTGCGGTCAGGCGCCAAGGGCGTCCTCGCCCCTCTGTCGGCGTACCCTTCGCGCGTATCGCGCCACATAGGGAGGCCAATATACGGCCTCATTGAGCCAGTTCGCGTGGCGTCCCCACGCTGGCACACCGCTCATGCGGAAAGTCCTTGCACCCATTTCGGCACACCCCTCGCGTGGATCGTGTTCCATGGGGAGCTCAGTCTACAGCATCGGTGCGCCAGTTGGCACAGCACCCCTGCGCATATTTCGGATCGCGCCCCACATGCGGACTGTGCCGCCCAGTCTGCGTACGCGCTGTCGCCCGTGCTGGCGCACCCCTCATGTGGATCGCGTCCCACGCAGTCCCAGTTTCCGCTCACGCCGGGCGCAGTCTGCGGGGGGAGGGTCAGCCACGGCGCCACATGCAAGTGCAATGAGGCTGGGCGTTTCGCTAAGCTGATCGTGCCGCCGCGTGCGCCGTCGTGAAGTCCCTGCCTCGTGCAATCTGCAGATGGACGTGGTGCCCATCCTGGCTCCGACGGCTGCGGCTTGAAGCCTCCCAGGATATCTACGCCAAGACTGAAGCGAAGCGAAGCGAGCCTTCACTCTCACTCCTTCCGCAGCTGGACAATTACTGGACACGTCTCGCTGAGGATCCTGTCTGTGAGCATCTGGGTGCGAGAGCGAGTCCGCGTAGACGACGGGCGCGACGGTGACAACGACGACGATCTCGACGATGTCAGTCACGTCGCCATCCTTGGGCCGTCCCGCAGGAAAGATGAAGGAGAGACAAGTGGAAGAGAGGTTGGATCCCCCCTGCCGTTCTCCCTGCGGCCGCGCGGACAGGGGGTGAGTGGCGTGGCTGCGCCCGCTCTCTGGCGTGCTCTTCGCGCGCCTGCTGGCACTGGGGGGGGGGTCCACGTGCCACGCAGATTGAATCGCGGTAACCACCTGTGTGTGAGCTTCAGTGGGCGCGAATACGAGCGTGAGCCATCTGGGCGTGGGCGAGTCTAAGAGGGCATGCATCTGGGTATGATTGCACCAGGGTGCGAGTCGGTCTGACTACAGCGAGTCGGGGTACGAGTCGGTCTGAGCACGAGTGAGTCTGAGTGTGAGTGAGTCTGATTGCGAGCGGGTCTGGGTATGGGTGGGTCTAGGTTTGACTGGGTCTGACGATGGGTACGATGAGTATGGTTCTTAGCGTGAGTTAGCCTGAATACGATTGGGTTTGACTGCGTGCGTCGGAGCGGGGAAGAGGAAGAGGGGGATGACGAAAAAGAGGACGAGGAAGGGAGTGAGGGAAAGCGGAGCACACGAGTCCAAAGAGAAGCGTGGGGGGGGGGGGCAGAAGCAGGGAAACCGCCTGAGACATCTCCATGATTTGGGCACGAAGCCCGAATTGTTCCCACCCATGGCAGTTCCCCCTTGGGAGTGTTGAAACCAGCGCTTCGCGTGAAACATCCTCACAACCTTGTCTGGAAGTTAAGGGTACTGGACACCCAAACAAGCAAACCGCTTGAGACATCCGTGCAATCTTGGCTCGAGTCCTGGAGTGTAACCCTGGCGGCTCCCGGTTGCGGATGCTGAAGCCACGCGTGCGACATCTTCGCAATCTGCTCCGAATGCGGAGGATACTGGGCACCCAAGCCAGCAATCCGCTTGAGACAACCCCACTATCTGGGCGCGAATCCTGGCAGACCGTTTGAATCATCCCCACAATCTGGGCGCGAATTCGGGGGTGTTTCCACCCTGAGCGGACGCCTGCTATATCGCGGTGAATCTAAGTACGGCTGAGTCTGCTTGCGAGTGTGCCTGGGTGAATCAGGGTGTGGATGAGTTCTCGAGTATAAGGGAGTTTGAATACGAGTGAGTCTGAGTACGAGTGACTTTGAGTGTTAGTGAGCCTGAGTATGAGTGAGTCTGCGTGTTAGTGAGTGAGTGTGAGGAAAGAGAGGAGGGAGTGTGGTGCGAAGGAGGAGGTCCAGAGGCGTCTGAGTAAAACGAGGAGCACTGCCGCAGCACATGGGGAACGTAGCCGCCCTTGACTCTGCCGCCCCCCATCACTCCCGTAGTTGAAACCGGTCCGCGGCGGTTGGCAGCACGGGCGTGAGAGGACCAGGGGCTGCACAAGTCCGAGCCGAACCTGGTGGAATGCGGGAGGAGGGGGGGGGGGACCAACCGCACGGTCGACCACGAAACGCTTTCATGCTTTGTCCGCGTACCGCCCCCATGGGGGCCAGGCCGCGCGCGAAGCTCCTGCCCATCTCCGCGGCCTCGCGGGCCGGGCCCCCGGACCCCGACCCCTGCGGGTGTGGGGAAGTTCCCTCACGAATGCTCCGCGCGAAACGTATCAGTGCGACCGCGTATCCGCGGGGTCGCGCCCAGGAATCCAGACCGCGAGGGCGTTGATACGGATCTGTTCGTCTACACGTCAGAGTGACCCTTCGCCGGAGTGGCCTTTGGTGCGGGCCCACGGGGGTCCCCCGATCGCCGACCGCGATGCGGAGTAGCAGCGTCTGGCGCGTGCGCGCTTGGTCCCCCCCGCGGCCCTCAGAAAGCCGCGCACCAGAGGTCACCCTTTACCCAGGGTCACTCTCTCGTGTAGCCGGGATGTTCGCGGCCCCTGGCCAGAGGCTCGGCAGCATGGGGCCCCGCATCCTCCCCTTCGCACGGCCAGCGGAGCCGCGGCAGCGGCTCCCGACTGCCGCGCCCGCTCGCGGCGCCCTGGCGCCAGCGCCGTCTCGAAGCGACGAGGCCTCCCCCCGGGTCCCAGTCTCGGAGGCGACGAGGGAGGGGGGGCGAGCAGGCCAGGGAGAAGCAAGACACGTACCGTCAAGTCCTCTATGCCAGGGCCGTTGGGTTCAGACTCTGCCCGCGCTGCAGACTCCGCCGTTTGGGTCGGGATCCCCCCCTCGTAGCCGCCGTCCGTCGCCTATTGGGGTCAAAATGGAGCCATCGCGGGGTCGCATTGGGATCGCGTGGCCACCTGGGGGTCACACCGGGTCCACAAGACACGATCGCGCTACCCAGTCCCCTAGCTTCGCTTCTGGCAGCGTATCTTTGTTGTATGCTCGCCGCCGTCGCCATGCCCTCCTCCTCTTCTTTCTCCTCCCTCCCCTGAGGGACGCGGTGGAGTACCTGCAGTCGCCCGAAATCCCGCTTCACCTTTGAATCATGTGCTGTCCGGTCCCACTTTATCCCTTTATAGAAACAGGGGTTATGGGAGGGGCAAAGGAAAGAGAATAGAGGAGGGTAAGCCGAGGGGGGAGGAGAAGGCACAGGCAGGGGAGGAGGAGAAACAAGGAAGAAGAGGAAACGGAGACGGAGGATGAGAACTCGTTGGAACGACGAAGATGGAGAGGAAGAACATGGAAACGAGATGGAAGGCGAGGGAACGAGGATACGGAGGAGGACGAGGAAACGAAAGAGGACCAGGAGGGAGAGGAGCACGATGCGGTGGAGGAGTTGGAGGGCGAGGAGGAGAAGGTTGAGGAGGAAGAGGAGGAGGAGGAGGAAGAGGAGGACGAGGAGGAGGAGGAGGAGGAGGAGGAGGAGGAGGAGGACGAGGAGGACGAGGAGGACGAGGACGAGGTGGAGGAGAAGGTGGAGGTGGAGGAGGAGGGGAGGAGGAGGAGGAGGAGAGAGGAGGAAGGGAGGAGAGGAGAGGAGGAGGGGAGGGAGGAGGAGGAGGAGAGAGAGATGGGAGGGAGGAGGAGGAGGAGGAGGAGCGGAGGAGGAGGAGGCCAGCGGCGGCGGCCCCCAGAGGCCAGTGGACCTCCCCGGAACGGGCCCCCCCCGGTGTCCGGAGGCCAGAAGCGGAGCGGGAGCACCCGGAAGCCGTCCGCAAACGCCGCTCGCCCTCGATCCTGTCGGGCTGGGGGCGCATCCTGCCAGCTGCTGGCGCCGTCTGCGGCTGCAGCAAGAAGCGGAGCGAGCGAGAGCGAGAGCAGCGAGAAGCCGTCTGAAAACCCCGCTTGCTCTCGATCCCTTCGGGCTGGAGGCGCCTCCTGCCAGCTGCTGGCGCCGTCGGCGCTGCCTGGTGTTGTCGCCGCTGCTGCTGCTGCTGCTGCTGCTGCTGCTGCTGCTGCTGCTGCTGCTGCTGCTGCTGCTGCTGCTGC